TCTAATAATTACTTAATATACAGAACAGAATGGGATTGAAGTAGCAATAATTAAAGTCATTCCTTTCCTAAACCTCTCTATACAAAGAAGTAAGTTTTGAAATGTTCCTGATGGTAATAATATGAAAAAATCAAGTGCGATTTTGTTCCATTCAAAGAAAATGAAAGGATGATTCTCTATAAGGCCATTTTCCGGCCTACGATAAAATCACTTAAAAATGTGATTTTATGTAACTTTAATCATTGTATTTCATGATTTTGATGTTTGTTTTTCAACATCGATCACCTAAGTTGCGTGATTTAAAGATCACAAACGGCCGTCAAATAAAGAAAAATTGAGAGTAGGTCTATTTACATCAAGTTTCTATGCATGTTTCTAGATGTAAATGATCAAAAATTGTTTATTTATGTCGGAAACATATCAGACTTAAGTAATAAGTGCAAAGATTGTTTAATTTAAGGCTAAACATATTTTTTTATGGCAAGAATTTTGATGCATTCACATTTTGCATATTTTGAATGTAAATCTTTACAAAATGCACCTCGTATGATGTTGAAAAATGTTTAATTAGCATTTAATTAAAAGTATTATGTCATACATGTTTATATTGTAATTGTGTATTGTTTCTATAGATGTGGTACCTATTTTACGCATAAAATGCCCATGCAAGAAATGAGATTTCTATGTTTCTATTGAACTATAAAAGTTGTGTATCAAATGTTTAAAGCATTGAATGAATTTTGTTTGTGATTAAATCAAAATTAAGTTGTAATTTATAAAATATAGTCTACATTTGCAAAAAAAAAAAAAAAAAAAAAAAAAAAAAAAAAAAAAAGAATTCATTAATTTACAGGACGAAAATATTAATGCAATTACCTGTTAATAGTCAGTACATAAAACTCAGAACGGTTGTATTAAAAATATATATATCGACGTAAAATGAAATAACATCGTAAGAGTTGCTTTGATTCAATTTAATTACGCATGTAAAACAAAATATTTAATTTAAAATGCTATCTATAACTATAATACACAAATGTATGTATAAAGTCGAGTCTCCCCCCCCCCCCCCCCCCCCCCCCACGGCACTCCATAAAATGGAGTAGATTTTCAACAGTTCCTTCCACTACGCATATCAGAAGTTTTAGTATATCCATGAACTAACAGAGTTCTACAACATCCCAGGTACAAAATGGACCGTAAGAGATGACACTCCTTTTGCACTCTTGAAACCTGAGGATTAAATTCTCTTTCCATGCTGCGTCAAGAACTAAGGTGTTTAACACGGGTAGTGACAGTGCCTTTACTAAGTCCTCAGCATTGAAAGTAAAAGTCATGGGTCTTTTGGATATTATCTTAAAGAAGGAGGTCCTGTCCCACGGTAGGTGTTGGTCAATACTGAAACCATGCATAAATCAAAATTGTGACACTTCACCTTAAGTGGATGATCTCTTTATCTGGGTGAAAAATTCTAAAATGACGTAAAGCAACATTCAATTATCAATCACGTGACATCTAGGAACCCCTTTCGTCCTTGGCGTTTTATTTTCTAAGACAGAACTACTGTTCTCATAACTTATATTGATGCTACCAAAGAAGTGTGATGAATAGACTGAGTCCTCTCAACACCCAGTTAACAAAATACATGGATCCTATGTCACTCATACGGAAAAGTGTCCTTCTAAAAGGTCGAGGCGAGAATTTCCATCATGAAACCATCCCATCAGTAATTCTTTATCTATAAAAGTTACATGTGTACCCATAGAAAAATTAAGTTTATAACACACATAGCAAATGCATCTACCCGCTACAACAAAAATAGCTTTTATCATTTCTAGAACTAATAACAAATATGCAGTACTCCTAAGGAAATACAAATACAAAGAAGTAGCATAGATATACTAAACTATCCTTATAAATAATAATAATTATAATAAGTAACTTATATTCATGCCTTATAGTCTATAAAAAATTTCTTTATTTCTAGCAGATAGTTCAATGAGACTTGTCTTCACGTAATTTCATAACAACCAGTCATTTCAGTCCTTTGATTTTAGATTTTTTAAGTAAAAAGTTTACCTTTTTTGAGTAAACATGCATGGCTTATATTAATTCTTAGTAAATCAATAGAAACATGTACTCTAAGTGAAAGTTTATGATAAGAAATAATCTACATAAGCTGATATCCTTCATTGTGAGTAGTTAGTTTTTCCTGCAAATATCGTAAAAATGAAGCGAAAAGTTTTTATTTACATGTCATAACCACCTTTAACCAAGTTGATAATTTGGTAGTCACTTTTTATGTTTATAAGAAGTTTACATGCAAATTTTGTAGTTGGTTAAAGGTGGTTATGACATGTGTAGGAGATACCTAACACACCAACCCTCTTGAGTTTTCCCATTACCCTAATGCTAATACGGACCGATAGTACCTTACTTTGTGACCCTATATCATAACAAATACTTTTGTATCATTAACCAATCAACATTTATCATTAAATTGGAACATTAGCCTACTGACTCATGCAGTTTTTAAGGGAAAAAATACTATTTGAAAATTTGAAGTCATTGTAGGCCGCAAAACGGCCTTATAGAGAATGATCCTTTCTTGCAAGATTTTTTTTCTTTATTAGAGAATAGAAACTGGATGCGCATTAAAAAAACCCACATATTTATAATCATAAAACGAAAAGATAGGTCATGCCATGGAAGTCTTCGGGGGCGAAGATCCTTAAGGCTGGAGGAAGGTCAAACAGGCCCCGGGGTCAGATAGCTCAGCTCGTAGAGCACATGCCTCGAGTTCAGTCGGGGGGGGGGGGGTCGCCCCGGGGTCTGCTCCCTCCGTCGTATTTCTCCCTTCCACACAAGATTTAAATCCAGTTCTTGTCGCGAGTTGTGGGCCGATCAAACAATATACAAAGGATTTTTATCGTTTGGGTTTAATGATCCACGCAGAAAATCTCTGATGCATTTTCTTTCATTTTCATCATGATGATATTGTCAGTAGAATTCTAGTTAGAATTTAATTTTATATCTATCAATGATAAAACATAACATTTCCAAATACCAAATTCACTAATTAAATCTTATTTGTATACATATTGAAGAAATTGACCTCTTTTATTTTTGACTGACAGGTACACATTTTAGTACTTTGATTGTTTACGTAACAGTTAGTCATTTACATGTATACATCAACAGCACAGTGGCACTTGTATCACACCGACTTACTCCAAAATATAGATTTTTTTATTAAAAAAAAAAAGAACAAGAGGCCCCTGACAATAATGCTCACCTGAGTGATTTTGGTCCTGTCGTTCTACAGCAGCAGTTTTTCCCCCTGTATACATGTATTCATATGAAAAATTTTGATTGTTTTTTTTTTGTCTCCACCCCACATCCAGGGGTCATGATTTAATTAAAGAAAATTGAATCCACGCTACCAGAGGATGCTTTTATAAAAATATTACTATTTATGGCTCTTTTGTTTATGAGAAAAAGGTTTTTTTAAATCTTTTCCCATGAATTCCAGTGTAAAGGTATGATCATCTATTGTGGCTCCACCCTACCCCTGAGTTCAAGACGTCAACAAATTTAAATCTACACCACCTGAGGATGTTTCCACACCAATATGATTCATCATGATTTTGCTGTTCTTGAGAAGAGGAGTTTTTTCAGATTTTCCCCACATAATTTGATTGTTATTATGGCCCTACTTTACTCCCTAGAGCCACGATTTGAACAGATTTGAATATTTACTACCTGAGGATCTTTCCATATAAACATGAGAAATCATGCATGGCTTAATTAACTGTTCTTGAAAAGAAGGTTTTAAAGATTGTTTCCTATATAAAACGTTGATCACCTATTGTGGCCTCAACCTACCTACACCCCACCCCCACCCCAGAGCCATGATTTGAACAATTTACAATCTACACTACCTCAGGATGCGTTCACATGAGTTCCATTTTTTTTTTTTTGGTCCAGTGGTAATTCTCGAGAAGAAGATTTTTAAAGAATTTCAATTTAAAAATTTGATTTCTGGCCCCACCCTACCACCGGAAGCTACGATGTGAACAATTACAATCTCAAATACCTCAGGGAGCTTTCACGTTAAGTTTAACCTTTTCTGGACCAGTGGTTCTTTAAGTAGATTTTAAAGATTTCCTCCTAAATTTCCTAGGTAAAACTTTGATCCTCCATTTTGGCCCACACTACCCTCAGGGGCCATGATTTGAACAATTTACAACCTACATTACCTAAGGAGGCTTTCATATAAGTTAAATCTTGATAAGATGATTTTAAAAGACTTTTTTGTATATTTCAATGTAAAACCTTGATCCCATTTTGTGGCCCTGCACTAATCCCAGGGGCAATGATTTGAACGATTGTAAACAATTTACAATCTACTAATACACTAACCTCAGGATGCTTGAAAATCACATGAGTTTAATTTTTTATGGTCCAGTGGTTCTTGTTTGTTTGTATGTTGTTTAACGTCCCTCTCGAGAATTTTTCACTCATATGGAGACGCCACCATTTGCCGGTGGAGAGCTGCAAATTTTGTCCTATACTCGGCACTTACGGCCATTGAGCAGTGAGGGATCTTTTTACCTTTGATTATCTCCTCTTGGAAGGGGACTTCCAAGCCCTTCATTTGAACAATTTAAATCCCCTTTACCCATTGGCAAGGATGCTTTGTGCCAACTCTGGTTAAAATTGGCCCAATGGTTTTGAGAAGAAGTCGAAAATACTCAGATGAGCTAATAGAAACCTTATGAAACATATTCCACTATACTTCTTTTTTTAAAAAAGGTGAGTCCAGTTTTTTGTTTTTGTTTTGTTTTTTATTTTTAATTTTTTTTTAAATAAATATTTTTTGTATTTCTGTTTGTTTTTTTAATTGGTTTATTTCTCTTTGTCTGTTTTCTTTGGCTTCTAATCTTGGCGTTGCTTGCTTTTGAATAAATAGAGTCGGGCTCAAACTTTGTCATATCTCAGCATGGACGACTTGAAGTTGAAAGATCCTCGGACATGTCGAATTTTCTTTTCTTCTCCATTTGGGGGGATGGAGGGTGAAAGAGAAGAATTAACAAAAAAATACTTTCCCCAAATCCACCATTTTTGTAACAAGTATGGGGTAAACTTTGTCGCTGTAGATATGAGATGGGGTATAACATCGGAAGCTTCTGCCAGCTCTCAAGTGATAAACATTTGTTTAAGAGAGCTAGATCGATCTGACTTTTTTGCGGGATTTTTTGGACAGGTATTAATTACACCAATGCTTTTTTCACATTTCAAGATTATTCATTTTAATCAACAGGTGGAAGTCTTGTTAAATATTATTGGTCATACCAATGGTATCGAATGTAAACATGTGTTTTCCGATCCCGATTTGTTTACTTTAACTCACCGGGAAAGTTTCTTTTTCAAATGATCAGAGGTATGGTTGGCATGGCAGAGATGACAACAGTCTACAAGAAAATTTTGATAATGCAGTTGGCAGATACCCATGGCTGGATAACGTTAGGGACAAAAGTGTCACAGAACTGGAATTTTTACATGGTCATCTCAACAACCCAGGGACATTACCAGCAGTTCTTTGTTTTAGGAATAAAGTAAGTAGAATGTATAACCTGTAAAAAGCAACAGTTTCTGTCTATATCCTCCATCCTGCATTATCAGTACATATAACAGAAATTGTGCATATCCAGGTATCTCCCACAGTATATATCGATCTGCATGTTCATCATAAATTTGATTAAAATTGTGCAGGATATGGCTGCAGTGTTAGCAACTATATATACCCTTTTCCATATCACACTCCATATCAACTGGAGACACCAATATCAGCCACCGGTCCTCTGGCAGACATTGCTGTCTCAGGCTGATCTGGGGTGTAATATGGAAAAGGGTATGTTTTGGTAAATTCAAATTACATATTTAGTATCAGGTAGCATATTATAGGCAAACCAATTCTAGCATAACACTTAATTCTTGAAATAAATAAAGTAAGTTATTGGCATTTTCAAACAGTAATTGCCCTTTTAACACAAAATGCACTTTTAAGATATTCAAGAAAAAAAATAATTAAAAAATATCGTAAATTTTATCTACACTAAAAATTACTGAGCAGAGAGGGCAATTTATAAGTCTAGACATATATTGTAGGCAAGGTACAATACTTTTTTGCTGCATAAATATTTGTTAAAATTTATTATCATATTATATATAAACTCAGTTTCTACGATATTGGTGGTCCCTAATATGGATGTAAAGAATCTCCGTTATAAGGAAATAAAAATTGAGGTCTCAGACACTTCTTCATAATCAATTTTACACAGAACTGTATGTGAATTTATTATTATTGCTGCTGCCTTTTTTGAGTTCTTTAGCATTTTATTAGTATATGCACTGTTTTGTTGATTTTTTTTTAGGAATATGATGACAAAGAGAGGGAGGAGGGTAAAAAGAGAGGAGACAAGAAACAGGTGTTTAAATACTCACCAGAGAGTGAATTATCTACTCAGTTAATGGAGGATCTTAAACAACGCTGCTCTCAGACAAAGGACAAGGTTATACCGTTCAGCTTACTCCATACTTTCAAATAATAAGCATTTCATTCATAGTAAGATATAGGAAATTATAATAAACTCTATCTAACTGCATATAAATAGGTTTAAATTATATGTATATATAAATATGTGTATATATTGAAATTAATTGAAGAGAGAGAGCTAGTATAAACAGATTTTTAGATAATTAGTTTTTTGCAGACTTATGGTGTTCATCTGAGCTATCCTAATCCTCAGGAGGTAATTAAGTATTGTTTTTAATTTTGATATCAAGACAAGCTTTAATTTTGAAATAACACACTAAATATTAAGTTAAGGAGATTCTGTTGACATACATTTTGCATATTAAGTTATCAAGATATTTCATTGTTGGATGCTTATAAAATTCAGTTTCCAATATAAACCTCCATCCCCAGTATACTTGTAAGAAGCAGAGACATGATGTTTAAGTTTATATTCTTCCAACAAAATGAAATACAGGCGTGATGATGCTTCTTTATGATTAAAAAAATGTAATTCAGTGGGATACATGTTGATTAGTTTTTTTTTAGTTATCACTTTAGCAAACTTTTGCATTTCACTGTAGATTTTATTTGATACATGTATGTGTATAATAAAAACATTGCATTCTGAACAAAATTAGAAAATAATTGTTGCACACAAAAGCAACGACATTGTGAGCAGCAGCATTAATACCACTCATAGGGACTAATTAATCAAAGGTTGCACTTATGAATGACATGCAGAAATTTGTACAAAAAAATTGGAAATTCATACTAAACTGCTCTGAGATGTATAATCCAATGGTTGGTATTTACAGGGTGCCAAGATAATATTTGATGCTATATGGAAGTATTTGAATAAGGTCCTACCAAAGCAGCGTTCTGCTGAAACAGAGACCAAGAGAAGTATACTCCTGGCTCAACATGATGCATTCTTGGCCAGCAGACAAAAAATGTATGGAGTGCAAGATGAAAATTTGTCATCTCTTTTGAACCTGATTAACAAAGGTTGGTGAGATTTTTCATTTTCTAAAGACAATAAAGCAGCTCCCTTACCAAAAAAGTATATTGGAAAAAATTTTTTTAAAGTGAAAAAAAGTCAGTTTAGTGGACTTGGGATACAAAGAGTGACCTTCATAATATTTACTTATACGAGGGGCATTTGAGATGTTCTGAGAACTGATTGATAAAATATTAACCGTTAAACGGAAATTACTGAGTTTGATATCATTGGACAGATCACAAAAATATACACATATTGTGACGTCCCTTTGTAAATTTTATTACGTAATAACTCCGAAAATGACGTCAGAATCTCGAATGTCTACCATACTGACCATAAAAATGACGTAACACGATAAAATTTTATAGTCAACATTTGTTCATTACTCAGATGCACGCTAATGGACACAACCACCAATTGGTAGAATGTTAACATAGACTAAAGTCTATCATATGGAGGTTATATTCAGGAGCTCTTATAGTTCTGAGGTGGTTTAAGAGTGTGTCAAACATAGCATGTTATTATCGAATCTCGCGCAAAATATTGGATAAAAAAGACGCTGTTGTGAGAAAAACACAAAGTTTAAAACCACAGTAGAATAGTGGAAAGTGTTACAGAATTTGCTGGCATTAATTCGTCAGGTATTTTAACCAATTATGCGGGAATGATTAAAGCTCAAGAGAGGTTAAGCTAAAGATGTCCCATATTTTCTCGTAAAAACCAAAATGCGCCGGTGTAGTTTTAACCCCACCGTAACTCGATATGTTCGAAAATTTTCAATCATGGAAAATAAATAAGATTATACATGGCAATGAAACTAAGATTTATTTTTTTGAGTCGAAAGTCAAAAGCAATAGTGAGTTTTGGATTGCCGAAGTTGAAATAATATGAAAAAATACGCACAGAAACTTGTCCCGGGGGAGACTTATATACGTCTTATTCGTAAACGGTAAGAGTCCTGACACTCAAGATACATTTGTGGAAAACTGCATTGTTTCACTTCAGTTTTATATAGAATATGTTATGTTTAATATAATGGAGAGCTTCATAATAGACCGAAAATTCAGCTATATCATATAAATAAAAATCTGTTACAAATGCCTAAGATAACATTACCGTGCTTATTAACTAAGTAAAAAATTAAAATGTGGAATTGCTGATTTACGGTACTTTTTTGATAGTCTTACTCTACTTCCATGCAAATTTTCTTTGCAATATCTTTTCAAAGAAGACTTTGACAGCACTTTTTGGATGTTCTCATGTGAACAAAAAACGCGACTTTTCAGTATGCTCAACATTCGAGATTCTGACGTCATTTTTGGAGTTATTACGTCATAAGTATAAGAAAATAACATTCATATAAGTGCAAATTTTTCAGCTCTTTTCATTGGTATCAAACTTATTGACTTCTGTGAAATGGTTAATATTTTAGCAAGCAGTTCTCAGAACTTTTCAAATGCCCCTCGTACCTGGCATTCACTTCTTTCCAATAAGAATGATATGACAGTCATGTTTATCCCAGTCAATGTTATTGTTTTGGTTTATATAGGAAGTTAGAAACACTAAATATGAAATAATTGTGAATGGAATTATCAATTCCAGAAAGATGTAAGGGTTTAATATGGTTTCATCAGCATTAAAGTTCCTCCAAAGTTCATAGTCTTTGATTTATGCATGGGTATATTTTTCCTGTTTGTAACAGTTTTAATCAACACAAGATGCTTTTATACACAATGCTGTGCCTTTTTTCATGAATCTCTCAATAAACTCAGAAGATGCTTTAATATTGACAATAATGATTTTTCATCCATATTCTGGCTTTTGCCCTAAAATAGGACCAAAGTTCTTATCTGGCATTGACAGACTGTTTCTAGAGTCTTCAATGTCTTACAATTCTCAAATGTAGACTCTTTCCAGTTTTTATGTAAAACATTCTGTTCCTTATTTTCCAGAAAAGCACTTTTAAAATTATGCTCAATGTACTCAGAATAATTCAAAATTCCCTTAGAATTTCAATTTCAGATTTTCAATAATTTCAATATTTCAGCTGTTGTATAAAAAGATATAGCTTTCCTGTTTTTAGACAACATAGTTCAGAATGAAAAAGTTACATTTGCAAGTAAAAGTAATTCAGAATTAAATACAACCAACTCAACATTAAATTCAATCAGTGTAATTGACATTGGGTGTATTTTTAACTATATTGTAGATCTGACAATTGCAGTCAGGCATGATGAAAAATCAATTAATTGCACATTGAGGGGATATGATAACACATTTATTAGTGTCTGAGGTGACTTACCTGGGAAGGACAGGTGAAATCAATTGTAATAAAGTCAAATTTCCTTTTATCTGCAGACATTGTGTAGAAAGAATAATTTTCAATTCATTCTAAAAAATTGAATTGTCATTATAACCTTTTTTTAACGTGTAATCATCATATTTTTTTTACAGAAATATGAAAAAATAAATGGGACCTTAAATTTATGTCATTATATGAAGTATTTCATTGTAACAAATTCTATGTATCTGGAGGCCACTGTATTTAGATTTTATTGAAAATATAGCTGAAGGGAGACAACTCTCATTGAGACAAAATGCACACTTGCAGCAGTAGGACCACTGTGGCAATAGGACCACTGTATATTTAAGAAATAAGATATCATTTTTTAGAGTTTCATTGGGATATGACATGAAGTCGGTCACATGTTCAAATTCTATAATGCCCGAAGGGCGTTATAGTAGATTTGATCATGTACCGACTTCATGTCATATCCCAATGAAACTCTAAAAAATGATATTTTATTTCTTATATTTATAGTTTCCTTTTTCATTTGTGTTACAAGGAAAAATAGGCACTATATAGACTTTGTTATGAAAATACAACATAACGTATCTACGACGTCATGTTATGTCACAATCTGAACTTTGCAAATGGCTCGTGCAGTTTGCTTTCCATACGCAAGAAAGTCTGATCATGTGACCAACTGCATGTCATTGAAAATTGAATTTCAATTTAATTAGTATTGTCATATAAGGAAAGACATCGGCAAATGTAAAAATTTATTCTTTAATCATTTTTGTATGTTTGTTAACTCTAATCAGCTTATGTGATAGTAAGGTATCCGTCTGTCTGCTTATCTGTAAAAATATTTCAAAATGTTATTCTTCCTTCAGTTTTTGTCTGATTTCAACAAGAGTTGGTACACAACTAGACTTCACTTGGATACATATTTCTCTTTATCAGTTATTGATTTCATTGAATGGTGTTGCCATGGTCACTCAAAGTAGAAATTTCAGTAAAATTCTTTCAAAATCCTACTCCTCCTACAGTTTTTGTCTGATTTCAATAAAACTTTTTACACAAGTAGATTACACTTAAATACATCATTCTGTTGATTTTTTATTCTGATGAAAGTTATTCCCATGGTTATTAAAAAGAGAAATTTCTGTAAAATTCTTTCAAAATACCGACTTCAAGGCCACAGTAGTCATATTGATATACAGCATCCTCCTGTAGTGTGGATTCACACTTAAAAAAATAAATCATGACATCGTGGGGCTAGGATTGGGTCACAATATGGAGTCCATAGTAGGAGAAATAATTTGAAGAACAGCATTGTCAATGTGCCTCAGGTGAGCATTGTGGCCCATGGGCCTCTTGTTCTAAATTGTGTTTTATGTGACAGAAAAATGGATTCATTTTGCAGAATCTTCAAGTCCACTTTTGGTAACTGGAACCTCAGGATGTGGAAAATCCACCCTTTTGAGTGTGTTTATTTCAAAAGTAAAGTCTGAGTATAAAAGTCAGTTCTGTCTGGTCTATCACTGTGTAGGACATGCAGAGGAAAGCACAGGTAGGTCAGGGTACAGTACCGTGGCTGTTTCTTTTCTGTATATGGACTCATTGGACTGTCAAAAGGAACTTGTACTTTTCCTTTGGAATATGACTCTGAAATATGATTGAACATGTAGCTTTACAGATAGAAAAAAAAGTTTCCTACCACAATTGTAAAGATCTAGCTATTGTGGTGAGATTTTCTGCAATAAGGAAGAAAAAGCAATACTGTAGAATAAAAAAGAAATTATTTAAAAAATGAAGAAATAAAAAAATAAAACAATCATAATGATGCAAACCTTACACACAACACATACAAACACACCCAAAGAAAGAAAGTATAACAGTAATACAGAAATATACTACATGTAACACACACAGAAACAATGAATACAGTAGTTATAAATACTATGTGTCAGTATCTAATTTTTAAACAAAATTTCTTTAGTGCAAAACAGCTATTTTAATTTTTTATGAATAGTAATTACATCTAATTCTAAGTTGTTGAAAAAATTCAAATCGGAAAATTAATCTTTAATTACTTTATCCAGTGAAAAACTTCAGCACAGAACACCACTGGGTCTCCACACACAATACAATTAAAGTTCACTAATGTTTCCAGTCCCAGACAAGCAGGCCTAACACTGGGGATTTATCTACATTTGTCTAACCTTCAGTTGGATCCATTCTAATTAAAATTAGATGTTCAAATCCGCTACCGCTTCTCAAACATCTAACAACATCCCATTCGGGGTCATGTCAGAGCAACCTTTCGATTAGCCAATGAAATCACTGCCTCCAAAATCTTGGCGTATAGTTCGGATGCATTTCTTTCTTCACTGCCAAACCTAAACACCCGAGGACTTTCGTAGTAAACAATATATGCATGACAAAGGCTGTACTGACCGTGCTATGTATGAATGTGATTGGCGGACTATACATTCAATTTATACCAAAATTACTTTAATTCATGGTAAGATAGACTACAGAGCATCAATAACGTTAAGATGTAGCCGTGGAACTAATTTTAGAATCGAATACAGAAGCTCGAATCTGATTGGCCAAGATTTTCATGTTCATTCATAATCAAAAGGTCGCTCTAACGTGACCCCGAATGGGATGTTAGATGTTTGAGAAACAGTAGTGGATTCGGAACATCTAATTTTAATTAGATTGAGTTGGATCAAATTTATAGCTCTCTGGAAGTCTATGGAAAGTGTAATTCCATCATGGCAGGCCTACCACATGCTCTGATCCTAAATGCCAACCAACCAAACACTGTCTCAAATCCTCAGCCCCTAGCTAGCTGGTATACTCAATGCCAAATGCACTAAAATGAAATTACTTCTGTAGAATTCTGACTTAAAAAACAACAGAAATAAACTAGACTCCCTACCAAAAAATATATAGGCCTAAAACAACAAACACCTATACATAAGTCAAGAAAACTATTTTTTCACATCTGTGCTGGAGAAAAATACTATTTACTCCATCAAAATCTACAGATTTAGAATGAATAAAATATATTGCTTAGTAATTTCAGTTTTGTCAAACTTTGGAAAGATTGTGTAGAATAATGGTTTTAATATTAAGTATAACTAAGTGAATTATGATTCCTTTCTATTTCTAGATCCTGGCCAGATTCTGCAGAGGCTTACAGATGAATTTGAGTTTGCTGTTGATGTGATGGAGGGAAGAGAAGAGAAAAACAAGACCAGTAAGAGAGATGTAGAAGATGTGAGAGACATCATTAATCAGTTGTCAGCCAACATCAGTAAAGTCCAGAGTAAAGGCAAACAGTGTATCCTTGTTATTGATGGTGTAGATAAAGTGACCAAGACGTCCAGGACTGAAGAGGTATGCACTCAATCAATGAAATCTAGCTATATACTGGAATGTGAATATTAAATTTGCTCTGACACCAAAAGAGGGACTAGTAAGAGCATTTTTTGCAGTGTCTGTCCTCAGTATATATGACTACTGGTACTTCAGAGTGATGTCTTTTATGTGAATCTATAGTGTGGTTCTTTTAAGATGTGGACACTGATGCATAAATTTCCATGTTTACAGAAGTTTCTCAAAACATTTCTTATTCAATTAATGTACTGTTATACTGATATGGTATTATGTGCAACCAAGCACAAATAGGAAGAGAGTCTTTTTAAGTGTTAGTTTCAAAATTATACTCTGTAATTTATTTATGAAAGAAAATATGCATAAGCCCTTTTAATGGATATGTAAAAAGTGAACCAGACTACTTCACAAATGAATTGCAATTAATTTCTGAAGAAAATCTATACTTTAGACAAAATGAAACAATTGTAGTTGTTTTGATAAAGTTAACTTTAATACTTTTGCTTTTGTTGATAAATATAAGCTACTATTTTTATATTTGACTTTTTTTTACAGGTTTTGTTCTGGCTTCCGAGAAACCTCCCAGGAGGAACAATAATGATTGTGTCAGCAAATTCCTCCGAATCTGATATTATAGAGGAACTTGTCACCAACAGATCTTTTGATAAGTTGGAAATTCAAGAGTTATCTGAGGAAATGAGACAGGAAATCTCTGTGGTCAGTAACAACCAAACTTTGTGAAGCCTGGATCTTTATATACCCCCTCATTTTCCTTTGTATTTATCAGAATTATAATCTCTATTATAGTTATAGCTAAGTCTCTTTTCAAAGAAAACAAAAGAGGAAAAAAAATGAAAATGGTTAAAATGAACCATCTTAAAGAATCTTATTATGTGGTAAATGTAATATTTTCTTACAGTGTTGTCAGTATCTTTCAAATTGATACTATTAATTTATGTTGATGTTTTCTTTAATCATTCTAGAAAATGTTGATGGAAGTTGGCAAAGAGTTATCTCCCTCTCAGATGAGGAAAATTAGAGAGTCCAGTGCAGCCAAAAATCCACTCTACCTAAAAGTCTTACTAAATGTAAGTTGTACACAGCCAATATCAATTCAATATGAATTTCTACAAATGTTTACTGTAAAACTTCTTTGCCTTGTTACTTTTGTTTTACAGGAGCTGATTGTGTTTGGGTATTTTCGTCTCCTTGATGAGAAAATTGACTCTTTGTTGAAAAGTGGAAGGTAATGAACTGAGTTTTGAGTTGAGAATTTAATATGATGAGAAAAATTATTATGATGAGAAAAAAAGAAATTCATAAACAGTATGTAGCAAAAAAAAATTAGAATTTTTGAAATAAATCTATTTGTGGTGTCCATTGGGGGGGTGGGGGGGGGGGGTGGGGGGGGGGGTAAAGAGCAAGGTATTAATTTAGTGATCTAAATTGACTTATTCCTCTCTGCCTTCAGATTCAGAACTGCATATTAATCATTGGGGGACAAAAAAATGACAAGCAATAATTATGTTCTGAAAATAATTCTCCTGATCAGGTCTCTATTTGTGAATTATAAATATTATAATGTTTTAATTTTAATAATGTCCAAAAGAAAACATCTTCCTTGTACATCTTTCACCTGAGTTGGGGATCAGTTAGTCCTAGCTGCTTCTGATATCATGGGGAATGCTTAGTTGATCTTGTTGCAATACTTTCTTGCAGTGTTGATGAATTGTTTGAAAAAGTCTTGGAAAGATTAGAAGCAGACTACAGAGGGACTGAATTAGAAGGAAATTTAGTAGAACAGGTAACTTTTCAGAAAAGGTGGATTTATTTTGAAGTGACTTTTTCATATTAAAATTTTTAATTCCTACAATTTATTTTTTACCCATTTTACAACTCTTCAAATATGTTTGTTAATTTTTATTTCTTTCATCTCAAATTAGATCATCATACTCTTGTATTCAAATATATATATGTTAATATGTATAATCAGGAATTCATGTGTTTCCTGAATATTTTTAGGAAATATCTGACTATTTATTCTTATGCTTATGCTTATGTTGATGCACTATTATTTCAAAGAAAATTAAAGAAAGACAACTAAACTTTGTGTAAACATATTTTTAAAAAATTCCTTGTAATATTGAAACATGAGGTATGTCTTAAGCTTTGTCTTAAGATTTCTAATACTGAATTAAGATAGTTTTGTGAAACAGCAGTGACAAATCTTATGATTGTCATAAGTCAGATCTTAAGATGATCTTAAGAGCTATCTTAATTAGGACAAATCCTACTATAGTTTTGTGAAACCCGGCCCAGAATTGGAAATTAATCTATGATGAAAGTTAGCTTTGTAGAAAAAATTAAAGTGCTATTTTAAAAGCATGCATACTAGTATTTGTACACTCATTGAATATTTTAATACATATGTATAGCCATCCTGTAGTTTAGTAAAAATATGTAAAATTGGCTAAAAGTTTCAGTAAATACAAGAATTTCCTAGTCTATTCAGTAATTGCATGTATTTCCTAAATCAGCTGCCAGTGATTACATTTATTTACCAAACAGTTTAGGAAATACATGAAATTTCTGATTTCCCATATTTACTGTAATATATATACTGCTATTTTTTTTTCAGGTGACCAGTGTTATCTGCCTGTCTAGACAGGGGATGTCTGAAGCAGAACTAACAGACATGTTCTCACTCCCCTCTCATGTTTGGTCACCATTTTTCTTTTCTGTGGAAAAATACTTCATTGACCAAAGGGGTCTTATCCAGTAAGAAAGGAGGATTACTTTCATTATAAAGTTCATTAAGAATTAATGACATGCACTGGCTCTTGACCTATTGTATAGCTTATTAACAGATCTCAGGCATGCCCTAATATTTGCAATAGCACAAATTTTTAAAAAAAAAAGTACATAAGGGACACTTGGATGTAAAACTTTGAAGTAAGTTTTGACATTATATTAACTCTGATTAAATTAAAATCAATAGGCACAATCTTAAAAAAAATATATAAAACAATGATGATTTAAATTATGATTTAATATTTTTATGGCATGCATTGAATCCACTCTTGTTCAGTGTTTAGAATTTTGTTTGCCTTTTCTTTTTCCTAAGTTTAATTGCAATCAAATAAACAAATAAAATGGGAAGTTGTAGCATACAGATTGAATGTGCAGCAAAATTTTAATTATATGAAAGTGTCCAAGAATTTGATCTGTACCCTCGAAATATATAAAATTACCAGTAAAAATTAATCACACTTTTTTTTTCACATCCTTAACATATAGAAATTATCTATGAGAAAATTTGCAGAATAACTGTGCAATTTTGTAAGATAATTTCTTTTTGGAACTCAAAAATATCTGTATGGACTTTATGAAGTAAAACATGTTATACACGAATAAAGTACTAATGTAGCATATTGTTTCCAGTACATTTTGAACTACAGTATGTTAACTGGATAATTTTTTGATAAAAAAGGAAGAATTAATTTATTGATTAATTTTTTTCATCAAATTTTAAAAAAGTTCAAGTCCCTGGAGTACTTTCTGTACTTTGATTTCTTTAAATAAAAAGGATAAGGCAGCATGCTTTGGCTTTGCAAGCTTCCTCTGAATTTTCTGAATTTGTTTTAGCATATTTGCATGAACAATCAAGATTGTAGATATTTGACATGAATGACATGTACTATATTCTGCTTCACACCTATCACAATTCATTTGTTATTTTTTTAATTCAAGGTTTGGGTTTCGGGAATTTAAGGATGCAGTCAAAAGAAAATACTTAGCAGATGAAAACTCGAGGTATTAACACTTAAGTAAAAAAAAAATAAGAATTTGTTTTAACTATATTTACATCACAATTACTAAACATTCTCACTGTTATTTCATATTGCAGGAAAAAGTACGTGCAGTGCATAGCTGATTATTTTGAGGATCAAAAACAGGCAAGAGCTTGAAGTTTTTACAAAAATGTTAAAAAGTGTAGTGTAATTGATTTAATTTAATTTTTGAAAATTTTTCTCTTTTGCAATATATTCATGTCACGTGAATTAAACATATAAATGATGTATTTCAATAAGGAGATTTTTTGATAAGTTTAATCTCAGTAATGGTAGAACTGAATTTGAATTGTTGATCATCATTTCTGAGACAGAATTAATTATTTACCATTGTCGAAAATCTGGGAAGGTTTTTTAGAAGTGGGTATTGGGATGTTTTTGAACATCTGTTTTCTTTAATAGGACCCAAAAACCTCCTGCGTGTGTTAATTTATGATGGCCCAATATATATATTGGTCCATTATAACATATAATATACCCGTAAGTATCTATTGGTTGATTTTGTTTTTGTTTTTTTTTTTTTCAGAAACTATCAAAGCTACACTCGGTGAAGAATAATGAGCTCACAAGAATATCTGTAGAACTGCCATTTGCATATCATACCTTACGTGATACAGAAAAATTAGGAGCGACTTTGTCAGACTTGTCTGTGCTGAGTTATCTGATAGAGTGAGTATAACAGGAATTTCAACAGTGAACCAAAGGCACAGAAATAAACTAATGCATGTATCTTTCCTTTCTATCAGTGATATTCAAAATTGAAAGTAGACTTATTTATTTACTTGCTTATCTATGGATAAAGAGTAATTTTGACAATTTATGAAGTATTTTCATAACCTACACTGAAAAACTTTGACATATGTCAGGTGCCCTTTGTTAATCTTCTGCTTGTATTTGTTAATTGGTATGTCAAGTTCATTATGAATACAGTTGAACTTCATTATCTCGAAGACCAATATCTGGAATATCAGGGATATGTCGAAGTGTGGTGGCAGCCCAACCACTCTTTCATTATGTTTTTTCACCCTTGTTATCTAGAATTCTCAGATACAGTTTATCGCGAAGTTTTATCTTGGTCCTATCAAGTTTGAGATATCTGAGAATTAGACTGTAGATTATAATGATATTTAAGGCAAATGAGGAAAATATTTCTAGGATGTATGAATGTTAAGTAATCATGGAAATTTTATACCACAGAGAGTGAAGATTTGCAAGTGGGGGAATTGTTTTATTAGTCACCTACTGGTGAAACCGGAGGGGACAAGAGGTTTCCTCCTCGTCTGTCTTTCTGTGTGTCTGTTCCTCTTTGTGTCTGTTAGTCCATCCCACTTAGTTTTCTGCACTTTTTAAAACAATTTCAGATATTGAGCTGATTTTTGGTATGTTATAAGTGTGCCTTGATGAGTTACAGATAAAGTTTGCAAATTCTTCAAAGATTTTGACAGAATTACAGCCTTTTTTATTTTTAAGGGGAGCCAGATTACTCTTGCTGGTAGGGGACTAGTATTGCTTATGCAATACTCTCAGAATGCTTTTTTTCTATTGGTCTTTCTGCCTGAGTCTTCATTTCAGTTTTGGCAACGATTATGTATCATGGAGTCATAACATTTGGCATGGTGAACTTACCTAGAACTTTATATCAAGATACATTCATAATCACACATATATCAATAAAGCTTATATTATTTGCAGTTGGTTAATATTACATCAGGAAAAAATTGTATCTCATCATTTAATGGAAATGTTTTTTGAGGACATTAAGGTTTTAAAACTTGAGTTAAGTACTTTTCTAGCTGCCTGGTTTTCATGTATACTCTTCTCATTTGAAAAAAAGTGTGATTTTTTTCAGAGGAGAAAGGTACATAACAGAGGTGTATGACCTGTGGGAGTCCACTGGTTACACTTGGAGTGAGATCACAGGAAAGTATCTGGCAGCAGTGGATCTACAAGTAGCAGACCTGTATATAAAGAAACAGGAAGAGGGCAGTGTTGATCAGGAGAGCCCCGGCCTTATGGTTAGTAATGGACTTGCATGATTTTTAGCTTCCTTGAGCTGAAAGATCAAATTGGTCAGCTTGTGTGACCTGTCAGTTGTGTGGTTGTTAATTTGCACACCTTCAAGTTCTCCTAAAAAAGCACAGGTGCAAATTTAAGAAAAGGATCATATGAATATAAATTAGCAATTAAAGCACATCAGGAAAAATAATGAGCAATAGTTAGCAATTTTTTAATCCTACAGCATTCTATTTATCTATATAAATTCTTTTTACCAAAATTATGCAATTACTAAATTTCTCAGCCATGTGAATTTTCATTTTTAAGGAATGGTCTTATATAAACTCTAAAGAAGAAGAGTTTTCCTATTTTATGTCAAAATTTGACAGCACAGTAAATTTTGGTTATAGTGAAGTCCTGGGGACCTGTGAATTTACTTCGCTATCTCCATTAAGTATACATAGGGAATTTGCAATAGTCATGTTTTCCTTCAAGTATTACTACTGAATATGTTAGGGAAGCAATTATAACAAAAACATACATTGGATAACTAAGGTTTTATTATGAATTGAATTTTATATACAAATACCAGTACTTAACAAAAATAAAGTCAGTTCAATATATCAGATTTTGAGATCTTTGAAAATTTGTTATAAAAGATGTAAATTACATTATTTTAAACCTCTACGGGACTTGATATAAATCAGTTTGCTATTCGCTGATTTATTTGTAAGTCATGAATTGTGCTATAGAGTTCCATCTTTAGGTCATGAATAAATGAATGAATGGTATACTAAATGTTTCATGTGTAGTTGTTGAATAATTGCTGTAAGAAATCTATCTGTAGGTCATGAACAAGTGTTGTAGGTGTCTCATCTGTAGGTCATGAACAAGTGTTTTAGGTGTCTCATCTGTAGGTCATGAACAAGTGTTGTAGATGTCTCATCTGTAGGTCATGAACAAATGTTGTAGGTGTCTCACCTGTAGGTCATGAACAAATGTTGTAGGTGTCTCACCTGTAGGTCATGAACAAATGTTGTAGGTGTCTCATCTGTAGGTCATGAACAAGTGTTGTAGATGTCTCACCTGTAGGTCATGAACAAATGTTGTAGGTGTCTCATCTGTAGGTCATGAACAAGTGTTGTAGGTGTCTCATCTGTAGGTCATGAACAAGTGTTGTAGGTGTCTCAACTGTAGGTCATGAACAAATGTTGTAGGTGTCTCATCTGTAGGTCATGAACAAATGTTGTAGGTGTCTCACCTGTAGGTCATGAACAAATGTTGAAAGTGTCTCATCTGTAGGTCATGAACAAGTGTTGTAGATGTCTCATCTGTAGGTCATGAACAAATGCTGTAGGTGTCTCATCTGTAGGTCATGAACAAGTGTTGTAGGTGTCTCACCTGTAGGTCATGAACAAGTGTTGTAGGTGTCTCACCTGTAAGTCATGAACAAGTGTTGTAGATGTCCTACCTGTAGGTCATGAACAACTGTTGTAGATGTCTCACCTGTAGGTCATGATCAAGTGTTGTAGGTGTCTCACTTGTAGGTCATGAACAAGTGTTGTAGATGTCTCACCTGTAGGTCATGAACAAATGTTGTAGGTGTCTCACCTGTAAGTCATGAACAAGTGTTGTAGGTGTCTCACCTGTAGGCCATGAACAAGTGTTGTAGATGTCTCACCTGTAGGTCATGAATAAGTGTTGTAGGTGTCTCACCTGTAGGTCATGAACAAATGTTGAAGATGTCTCACCTGTAGGTAATGAACAAGTTTTGTAGGTGTCTCACCTGTAGGTCATGAACAAGTGTTGTAGGTGTCTCACCTGTAGGTCATGAACAAGTGTTGTAGGTGTCTCACCTGTAGGTCATGAACAAGTGTTGTAGGTGTTTCACCTGTAGGTGTTGAACAAGTGTTGTAGGTGTCTCACCTGTAGGTCATGAACAAGTGTTGTAGGTGTCTCACCTGTAGGTCATGAACAAGTGTTGTAGATGTCTCACCTGTAGGTCATGAACGAGTGTTGTAGGTGTCTCACCTGTAAGTCATGAACAATTGTTGTGGGTTTACCATTTATAGGTCATAAAACAAGTGCTGTAGATTTTCCATCTTTAGGTCATGAACAAGTGCTATAGGTTTTCCTTCTGTAGGTCATGAACAACTGTTTATGTTTACAATCTGTAGGTCATGAACAAGTGATATAGGTCATATGTAGGTCATGAATAAGTGCCATAGGAGTTCCATCTGTAGGTCATGAACAAGTATTGTTGTGGTTGCATCAGTAGGTCATGAACAAGTGCTATATGTGTTCCATATGTAGGTCATGAACAAGTGATGGAGTTCCATCTGAACAAGTGCTTTAGGTGACTTAGCCATAGGTCATGAACAAGTGCTGTTTGGTGTACTATTTATAGGTCATGAACAAAGGCTATAGATGTTCCATATGTAGTTCATGAATAAGTGCAGTAGGTATTCCGTATGTAGATCTTGAAAGGCCATGAACAAGTTCTGTAGGTATTCCACCTAATTGTCATGAACAGCTATTTATGTGTTTCATCTATAGGTCATGAACAAGAACTATAGGTGTTGTATTATGTAGGTCATGAACAAGTACTGTAGGTGTTTCATCTGTAGGTATGAACAAGTCCTTAAGTTTTTCATCTGTAGATTATAAACAAATGATAAAGATGTTTCCATTTATCATCTCATATTTTAGTGCATAAAATACAGAGAAAAGAATAAATTCACCTTTATGATTTATATAACCTTTATTAATGTATAACATGTACTTTTGATTTGGAAATCAAACCTGTTATCCATTTTTTTTCCCAAGGTCATAGATGATCTCTGGAATGTAAACACCTTGCTTAAATATGTCCATTATTTTGATGGATGTGAAAAAATTTTGGAGAGGATTTTGGACATTAATGAAAAAAATGTAAGTACAACAGCACTAATAAATATTTTTTGTAAATATTGAAAGCTCTATGTTCACATAATACCACAGTTTTCAATTGAGATATGTCACTTGTTTTACAATATAGCTTGTTAGAATTTCAGTTTCTACATAAGAAAAAGAAATCAACTTTTTTTTTAAAGAATTTTTACCAAGTAATTCCAAGAAATCATAAAAAGTTTTTAAAAATCAACAAATTTGATCATATCAAATGTTATTGTGCAAACAAGTGTTATAACCCTCAATAAAGATGTTTTGATGAGTAAATAATTGAAAATGTACTTATTAATTAATGTGTTCTGTAATGTGAATTTATAATGTGAATCTATCCTCCAATGGACCAACAATGAAACATGTGGCCCAGCGTTTCCCAATCAGACACATGTTTTACTGACTAGGAGGCATGTGATCTTATGGAGATTTTAGCTCACCTGAGCTGAAAGTTCAAGTGAGCTTTTCTGATCACATTTTGTCCATCGTCCGTCTGTCTGTCCATCTGTAAACTTTTCACTTAATGGTTTGGGCCATGGATATTGGCCTGAATAGCTCAATTAGTGGAGCACCTGACTTGTGATGCAGGAGTCCCAGGTACCATTCCAAGTCCAGTCATACATTTTCTCCTTTCTTGTTACACATGTAATACATACATGCCTGTCTCTTCTTTGTGCAAATTTATGTCAGTGGCAGTACTCTACATACATCTCAGTACTCTCTGTGTCAGTGGCAGTACTCTACATACATCTCAGTGCTTTCTTTGTCCATGGCAGAACTCTACATACATCTAAGTGTTCTCTATGTCAGTGGCAGTACTCTCTGTGTCAGTGGCAGTACTCTTCATACATCTCAGTACTCTCAGTGTCAGTACTCTAAGTACATCTCAGTGATCTCTTTGTCCATGGCAGAACTCTACATACATCTCAGGGATCTCTATGTCAGTGGCAGTACTCTCTGTGTCAGCGGCAGTACTCTACATACATCTCAGTGCTCTCTTTGTCAGTTGTGTACTCTCAATGTCAGTTGCAGTACTCTACATACATCTCAGAACTCTCTATGTCTGTGGCAGTACTCTACATACATCTCCGTGCTTTCTATGTCAGTAGCAGTACTCTACCTACATATCAGTGCTCTCTATGTCAGTGACAGTACTCTACCTACATCTCAGTGCTCTCTTTGTCCATGGCAGTACTCTACATACATCTCAGTGCTCTCTTTGTCCATGGCAGTACTCTACATACATCTCATTGATCTCTTTGTCCATGGCAGAACTCTACATACATCTCAGTGATCTCTATGTCAGTGGCAGTACTCTCTATATCATTGGCAGTACTCTGCCTACATCTCAGTGCTCTCTATGTCAGTGGCAGTACTCTACCTACATCTCAGTGCTCTCTTTGTCAGTGACAGTACTCTACATACATCTCAGTACTCTCTATGTCAGTGGCAGTACTCTACCTACATTTCAGTGCTCTCTATGTCAGTGGCAGTACTCTACCTACATCTCAGTGCTCTCTATGTCAGTGGCAGTACTCTACCTTCATCTCAGTGCTCTCTATGTCAGTGACAGTACTCTACCTACATATCAGTGCTCTCTATGTCAGTGACAGTACTCTACCTACATCTCAGTGCTCTCTTTGTCCATGGCAGTACTCTACATACATCTCAGTGCTCTCTATGTCAGTGGCAGTACTCTACCTACATCTCAGTGCTCTCTATGTCAGTGGCAGTACTCTACCTACATCTCAGTGCTCTCTATGTCAGTGACAGTACTCTACCTACATCTCAGTGCTCTCTATGTCAGTGACAGTACTCTACCTACATCTCAGTGCTCTCTTTGTCCATGGCAGTACTCTACATACATCTCAGTGATCTCTTTGTCCATGGCAGAACTCTACATACATCTCAGTGCTCTCTATGTCAGTGACAGTACTCTACATACATCTCAGTGCTCTCTATGTCAGTGACAGTACTCTACATACATCTCAGTGCTCTCTATGCCACCAGAAATGAAAACTTACTGTCCTTTTGTGATTTTAGTGCAAAGAAATCGACAGAACAAAGAATGTGACAAGAGAAGCGGCTTTGTATGAGCTAGCAGTCACATATCATCACAATAGCAAACTACAGAAGAGTACAGAGATTCACCAACAGGTGTTAGAGATTCGAGAAATGTAAGACAAACAATCTTGTTCAGTTACGATCTTTTTATGTCGTCTGATCAATGTGCCCCCTAGTTTCAGGTCTTTTATGTACCATATTGAGAGGTATTCGTCATTTGATATAAAATAGAATAAATTGCAATCTGCATTATGTAATAAATTCAATTACTAGTATTCTAAACATTAATTTAGACCAAGACAGAGTAATTGAAAACTTTACTTGCATGTATTTTCCCATTAGAATAATCAAACACAATTTTTCTTTATCAGTACTTCATCGTCTACTGATTTTCCTGGGTAAAAAAGGCATGCACCCTATTTTAAAAATGAAGTAGACAATATGTTCTCCTTTATGCTATTTTATAAGTTTCTTGGAGTCCAAAACACATTTGTCATCAGTGTATAGAGGGTCCTTAAAGGTTTATAGTACTCTGTAAATAGATCTTTAAAATGCCCCAGCCTACACTTGTGGAGTACTGGGGAGCTGAGATCACTGCTTTATTCTTGTATTTTGTACATTTTAGGAGAGTGCCAGATATCTCAAATGCAGACAAGTTAGACTTGGCAGAATTAGGTAACTCTTACAATGGAATTGGCACAAATTATCTCATCACTGCAGATTATGAAAAGGTCAGTTATATTTGCACTGATCAACCATCTTGATAATATCAATATATCAATGATATTATAGAAATATTGCATGTAGTTGAGGGTAACATTGAAAATTTTCACCCCAAGAAAGCCATTGTCAACCGAGGCGCAGCCAAGGTTGACAATGGTTTTCAAGGGGTGAAAATTTTCAATGTTGCACTCAACTACATGCAATATTTATTATATTATACTGAATGTTTTATACAAATGCATATTACAGTGAACTGTGCACGCATAAATTTTGCGCAGTCAATATTTTTTTGAATATCACCCTTTGTCAAGCAGTGTTGACTGTTGCTATGCTGGAGGGCGTGGCTTCATTGTTCAGGGTAATAGTGTTTTTTAACAAATGTTTCTTCAACTTATTTACATAAAAGTATAATATAATATAAATACTGTATGTAGTTGAGAGTAACATTGAAAAGTGAGCTTTTCTGATCTAAATTTGTCCGTTGTCTGTCGTTGTTGTTGTCGGCATCATTGTAAACTTTTCACAATTTCATCTTCTTCTCCAGAACCAGTAGGCCAATTTCAACCAAACTTGCCACAAAGCATCCATGGGTGAAGGGGATTCAAGTTTGTCCAAATGAAGGGCAACGCCCTCTTTCAAGGGGAGATAATAAAGAATTGGTGAAAAATTGATAGCATCTTTTAAAAATCTTCTTCTCAAGAACCACAGGGCCAGGAATGATGAAACTCATGTGGAAGCATCTTCAGGTAGTGTATATTCAAATTAATTCAAATTATGACCCCGGGGGGAGGATCAAAGTTTTACATAGAAATATATAGGAAAAACCTTTAAAAAATCTTCTTCTCAAGAACAGCAAAGCCATGATTGTTCATATTTATGTGGAAGCATCCTCAGATAGTGTAGATTCAAGGTTGTTCAAATCATGACCCCTGGGCGTAGGGCGGGGCCACAATGGAGGATCAAAGTTTTACATAGCAATATATAGGAAAAACCTTTAAAAATCTTCTTCTCAAAAACAGCAAAGCCATGATGAGTCATATATATATGTAAGCATCCTCAGGTAGTGTAGATTCAAGGTTGTTCAAATCATGACCCCTGGGTGTAGGGAAGGGGCCACAATGGAGAATCAAATTTTTACAAAGAAATATATAGGAAAAAGCTTTAAAAATCTTCTCAAGAACAGCAAAGCCATGATGAGTCATCTTTATATGGAAGCATCCTCAGGTAGTGTAGATTCAAGTTTGTTCAAATCATGACCCCCGGGGGTAGGGTGGGGCCACAATGGAGGATCAAAGTTTTACATAGAAATATATAGGAAAAACCTTTAAAAATCTTCTTCTCAAGAACCTCAAAGCCATGATGAGTCATATTTATATGGAAGCATCCTCAGGTAGTGTAGATTCAAGTTTGTTCAAATCATGACCCCCGGGGGTAGGGCAGGGCCACAGTGGAGGATCAAAGTTTTACATAGCAATATATAGGAAAAACCTTTAAAAATCTTCTTCTCAAGAACCTCAAAGCCATGCTGAGTTATATTTATATGGAAGCATTTTTTCCTTGATTTTAGGATAATGGACATATAAGTTCTACATAAAAAAATCAAACGAGGGGTGCATGCCTGGCGCACCAGCCGTCGATCCGCCTTTGCTGGGGTAGGGTGGGCCCAATGGGGGATCGAAAGTTTTACATAAGAACATATAGAAAAAATATTTCTTCTCAAGAACAGAAAAACTATGTTTATAAGTCATATTGTTATGGAAGCATCCTCAGTTACATGTAGTGTAGATTCAAGTTTGTTCAAATGATGACCCCTGGGATAGGGAGGAGCCACAATGGGGGATCAAATTTTTACAAAGGAATATATGGGAAAATTTTTTAAAAATCTTTTCAAGTACAACAAAGCCATTTGTTAAATTGACATGGAAGGTAGTTTAAAATTCAAGCCCCCCCCCCCCCCCCTTCCCAGTAATCTTTTCAATACTGAACTGATTTGTGCTTTTGCCTAGCCAGTGTGCTCAGGTTCAGGTGAGCAATGTGGCCCATGGGCGTCTTGTTTAAATGTTTCTTGATGAATCAAATTCAAGTAATTTACATGAAAGTATAATATAATGCATTTGGCAATCAATGAATTTGAAGCAGAAGTTGCTTGATTGTAAAACAAATGCTTGTGTCTAATTTTTCAAACAAGCACTGCATGTCCTACAGAAAAATTAAGTCCCATAAGCAAGCTCTTATTAGCCAGTGTAGATTTACACTAGTTTTCACAAACTCATCTTAAATTTTCTTCACATTCTTTTCACAGGCTGAGGAGTACTTGAAAAAGTCTTTGGAGTGTGCAAAGATAGGCAATGCAAAGAATGATATGGCAAGTTGTTATCTGAATTTGGGCAATGTTTACCTAGCAACAGAGGATTACGACAAGGCTATGGAATATTTAGAAGAGGCAATTCAGGTGAGACTGCATCGTCTAAATGCAAATTCAAATCTGAGAGTAGTCCAGACACCAGTATTTTTTATGTTCTAAGTTCAAAAAATTGAAAAGATTAACTCCCTAACTATTGTCAGAGGCCCCTTTTTCTATGATGAATAAAATAAATGTACATGATTATGGTATTTTTCAAACAACAATGAAGGAAACTGACACCTTCTTAAAAGTGTCAATAGTTTATATCATTTATAATTTTGAGGAATACATGTACTGCATTATTGATGATTTTTAGATTACATTACAGTTAAATTTGGCCTTGTTTGGGACACTTTGTTCCTTTATGAATATAGATGAAAAGAAAGGGAGGATCTTAGTACAATAGAGAGATAAGCATGTCCTTGGAATCTATCTTATATGGCTATTGTTATTTCGCTCAGAGTTGTCAATCTGATGGTTGAATGATGATGCATGCTGTTTACTACATGTTTAAATTTTGTCACATACGCATGGTTCAGGTAATTAATACAATTATATGTCTTTTACATTTTAAACTATAAATGGTTAAGGAAGGGCTTTGATACAGGACAATACATGTGGAACCTTAGTGTATTCATGTTTTGCATGTATACAGGATAAAAAAAATTCTCTGTATGATTCATAGACCCCTTAGAGTTAAGATGGGGCCACACAAGTCAGATTTACTTGCATATGTTTTAAGTGACTAAAAGTAAGTAATGCTGCTTCCAGAAGTTTAAATACAGTCAAATGTCATTATCTTGAACTCAATGGGACTGAGAAAAAACTTCGACATATCCGAGGATTCGAGGTATCCAGGGTAAAATACTTAAAGAATAAAGCCATTAAAGGGTTGGGACTTCCAAATCACTTTGACATATCCATGGTATTCAAGATATCAGTGTTCGAGATACCGAAGTTCAACTGTACTGGGATGGAGTGGAAGTTTAGAATTCAGAGAGGCTGTTATATTATTACAAAGGAATGTTTGGAACAGCCAACAGAAATGTAATTTTTCTGTCCTAATTATATAATCTCTCAGTGACGTATTAAGCAATTTTTAGACAATTCAAATGGACTGGGTCTTGAAGACCTTAAATCATTGGACAAAATTCTATATAAATATATAGTGAAGTCAAGAGCAGCTGAACTGGTGTGAAAACTGTTGAAACTTATTGTCGACGTTAATTCTATTTGCACAAAAAATATTTTTGAAAATTATATACATGATGTTCACAAATTTTAGTAACCTGTTCCAGAATAAGTACTGTCCAAGAATTTTAAATTGCTAATCAGTGTATCTGTTATCATTAATTTTGAAAATAAATTCAAACTCCAAACATTACATTAATTGTTGTTAACTTTATGAGCAAAATTAAGTTTATTAAAGTTATAGTTCAAAGTCACATCTCTAAAGCATGTCTGACCCACGACTTTGCAATATTTTTGTTGAGATGAATTCATACCAATAAGCTGTACCATAAAAGCTAGGTAATTTATTTAATGGTACATTTTGCATTGTCATTCAAAAAATGAAATTGCAAAATACTGTATACAGGGTTATTTTCGTCCCATGTTATTTTTGCCCTTTTGCAAACAATTTTGCCCTGTTTTAAATTCGCCCAGCCCAGTCACAATTCTGTTTAAGGAAATGATACTGTGTTTTTTGAATTCGCTCCGTTTTAAATTTGCCCACCTGTGAGTAGGTCCAAAATAAAATGGGGGCAAAAATTTGCCTGTATATGGGATTACAGTCAAACTTTGTTATCTTGTACCCACTGGAACCAAGAAAAAAACTTCAAGATATCTGATGATTTGAGATACTGAGGTGAAAATACATAAAGAAAAAAGTGATTGGGACCCTTAACTCACTTCAACATATTTTTGGCATTGGAAATATAAGTTTGAGATAAGAAAGTTCTATTGTATTTTGTTCTTGTTAGGCAGAATTAAACCACAAATCTTCAAATACACAAAAACTGGAATGCTTTCATGAAGGAGCAGAGTTGAAAACAGATCATTAGAAATAGTCCACTATACAGTATAACATCAGCAATGACATTCTATACAAATATATTAAGTATACCATCAGGTCAATGTGTTGCTCAAGGCCAATAAAATGCAGTCACCCTGATTATCAAAATCAGAATGCTTAATGTTTCTAGAGGAGCAAACAGTATTACTTTTGTTGAAAAACTGTGATGATGGTAAACATGTACATGTAAGAGGCATTGATAAATTTATTTTTGTCAGTTTTTTCTTTATCCAGTTGACGAAAGAGATTTATTTTGGTCATCAGCCTCTAAGTTTAGGACTGCTGTATAATAACATAGGAGTCTGCTGCAGGAAGCTGAATCAAGTTGATGATGCTGAGAAATATTACCAGATGTAAGTCAACATTTTGTCTAGAGAGTATACTGTAAACCAACTATTATTCGCGTCATCTTTAATTTTATTCGTGATTCGTCAGTCTGAAATCAATCTGCAATGATTAATTTTTGCGACTGAGTAAACATTCTCTACCCAATATAAAGCAAAATAAATAGTTTGCGGCAATTATTAGTTAACATAGGTTGCATTTTGTTTTTGTTGTGGCACTTGATATTTTATTCTGTAAGCTAGGTCTTGGAAACAAATTTACATTAAAATTAAATAGATTTATGATAAGATGACACTTTCTCTCCCCCTCTTGGTCTGTACCCATAAAGTTCAGGATAGACAGGAGTTCCTGTTGTTAGGCCTACAGGTCAATGAGAGTGGTTATCACACTGCATCTCAGCTGGAAAAAATTCCTTCTTATATTTTGATTTTGTTAACCCACCATGAAAATCCACCTATTTTCCCTGTTTAGATTCTTATTTTGTTTTAGTTATTTAATCTTTGTTTATGAATGTTGTTCATTGTATTTGAGTTGGCAGTTCGCATAACCCTTCTATAACATTTTCTTATAGTTTACATATTGTTTATTACTAGATTGGTAATATTGTATTGTATATTGTGTATTGGTAATAAATTATTGGTTTGCATATGTTTGTAAATGAATTAAGTTGAAAGTCTCTGCCTTCCACCTGCAGTGCCAGCTTTGATGTACATTAAATACAGTCAAACCTCGTTATCTTGAACTCAGTGGGAGTGAGAAAAAAATTCAAGATAACTGATGATTTGAGATATTGAGGGTAAAATACTTGAAGAATAAGGGGTAGGACTTCCAAATCACTTCAACATAGCCATGGTATTCAAGATATCAGTGTTCGAGATACCGAAGTTCAACTGTAAAGCAGTCCATTCAAAGTCTTGGGTCTAAAATGTACTGCACATTTAAATGAGTAAAACATGAAGAGTGGCTAAGAAATGCATTAATCTTGATGCAAATTGTTCTTAGTAGAAATTTGTATTTTGACAGGTCTCTTGATGTGAAGAGAAATACAGTGGGTAACCATCATCCTCTACTTTGTCAAACTTACATCTCCTTGAGTGTCATTGAGACTTTAAGAAACAACAACCTTAAAGCTCTGGAATATAACCAGTTAGCAGCAGAAATTTACAAGGTGAGCAGAATCTTATAAGTAGGCAGAATTTTACAATATAAGCAAAATCTTACAGGTAGGCAGAATTTTGCAGGATAAGCAGAATCTTATAGGCAGAAATTTACAGGGTAAGTAGAATCTTACAGGTCAGGTAGGCAGAATTTTACAGGATAAGCAGAATCTTATAGGTAGGCAGGATTTTACAGGATAAGCAGAATCTTATAGGTAGACAAAATTTTACAGGTTAAGCAGAATTTTACAACTGAAATAATGCAAGTTACAGGATAAAAAGTGGGACCATTGAAGTACCTGTAATTGACATAATTTAAGTATAACTTTCACAGCTGTAATGTTTATAGAAAACTACAAGATTAATTACTTATTATCACAAAATGAAAATCATTTGCTTGCTAAAGCAGATTGGCTCTAAGGGATCATGTCACAGTACCGGTATTTAAAGTTCTGATTGGAATTGTTAACTCATTGTTAACTCAGTATTGGTTCTGGGTTTTACTGAAGTTTTTATTTTGACTTCTTGCCTTCAATATTTCATTCCAATGTTCTTGTGTTTAGAATGTGTGGAATTAAATTGCTTTGCTTTATTAAGTGAGAATAAAATTTTAGATAAAATAGGATAAATATATTTGTTGTATTCAGTAAAGAAAAAATCTCTAAGAATACCAAAATGATATTCTGTCACAATTAAAAAAAACAAATAACACAATTATGGGAACTTGAAGATTCACTAGCACTACAATCAATGTGCTAATAGTGCATTTGGATACAAATGAGTTCCTGAATTTTTGGGTCACCTGAGTCACTCAGGTGACCTATTGCTATCTGTTCTCGTCTGTTGGCGTGCGTCGTGTGTTAACATTTGAACATTTTTAGCTTCTTCTCTGAAACCACTTAACCAATTTCAACCAAATTTGGCATATAGCATCTATGGGTGGAGGGGAACAAGAATTGTGAATTTCATGGTCCCTGCCCCCCTGGGGCCTGAGGGGTGGGGCTAAAACCACCAAAAATAATGCAATCTTTAAAAATCTTCTTCTTTACTCCTGGACATCAAGCAGTCAAACTGTTGGCATGATTGTAATAAGCATTGAGCCCTCTACCAAAATTGTGAAATTCATGGCCCCAGGGTCAGGGGTTCTGGTCCCAGGATGGGGCTATATAGATCATATAGTGAAAGTGCATTATTTCTTTGAAAATCTTCTTCTCTGCTCCTGGGTATTAAATAAATTAACTAAGTACATAGTTATGAAGAGCAATAGTGCCTCTTCCAAAATTGTGAAATTCATGGCCGCAGGGTCAGGGGTTCTGGTGTTAGGGCGGGGCTCTATTGATTACATAGTGAAAGTGCATTGTTTCTTTTAAAATCTTCTTCTCTGCTCCTGGGTATTAAATAAAGTAACTAAGTACATAGTTATGATGAGCAAGAGTGCCTCTTCCAAAATTGTGAAATTCATGGCCCCAGGGTCAGGGGTTCTGGTGTTAGGGCAGGGCTCTATTGATTATATTGTGAATATGCATTAATTCTTTGAAAATCTTCTTCTCTGTTCCAGGGTAATAAATAAAGTAACTAAGTACTTAGTTATGATGAGCATGGTTGCCTCTTCCAAAATTATGAATTTCATGGCCCCTGGGTCAAGGGTTCTAGTGTTAGGGCGGGGCTCTATTGATTATACAGTGAAAATGCATAAATTCTTTCAAAATCTTCTTCTCTGCTCCTTGGTATTATTCAAACAAAGGAAGTGCATGGTTATGATAAGGAAGAATGTCTCTTCCAAATTGTGAAATTCGTGGCCCCTGGGTCAGGGGTTAGATGAAGAGGAGGGGGACTCTATTGATTATATATTGAAATGCATAATTTCTTTCAAAATAAATTATTTTTTCTACTACTGGTTATAAAGCAAAGAAACAAGCGTATAGTTATGATGAGCAAGGGTGCTTCTTCTGGAATTGTGAGTTCATGGCCCCTGGGTCAGTTGTTCTGGTGTAAGGATGGGGCTTTATTTATTTAATAATATAGTGAAAATGCATTTCTTTGAAAATCTATGCTTCTGGGCAAACAGAGTAGAAGTTTTAATATGCAAGGTATTTTTACCAGAATTTTGAACACCTGGACCATTTAGTCAAGTGTTCTGGTCCTGCCCAGTGCTCTATTAACTTGTATTCTGCTGAATAAAGTTATTCCCCTTTGCCATTCACCTTTGATAATTAATCACTGTAAACAATGTATTTTAAAGGTTAATAGAATATGAGAATTATGCAAGAATATTTATTGTAAAATAAAAAAAAAATTACTTTCACAGTTTTAATGATCAGGTAGTCTTGGAAATAATAAATGAATAAAATTGAGACAAAAATAACTAATCTTTTTAAATGTTCTTCAAAGGCCAAGAGAGGCCAATGTGAGAAGTTATGATATAGGGTTAAAAAATAGACATTTTGTTAAGTAGTCTCCATGGTAATAGTGATAAATGGGGGACAGATACATACTAGACGAATTATTTTGTTGATGCTAATCATACTGTATTTCTTGCTTTTGGGCAACAAAGCTTCATTTATCAGTTTATGGATCCTCTAAATTGTTGTATTGTACTCAGGTGACCATTAAGGCCCTTGGGCCTCTTGTTATGAATAAATTCAAAATGCTCTTTTATTGATTTGTTCTGGGTTTTTTTTCTTCATATAATAAAAAAAATTACCATCTGTGTTTTTGGGCAACATTGATTATATTAGCCCCCTTGGGACAAAAATATTGCCCAGGATAACAATAATTGTTTTTTGGTTTTGACATTACTTCAAGATTGAATTAAAAAAAAAACTGATAACTATTGGACATGTGTTTGTGTACATTCAGTTAGAAAACTTAATTCTCTAAATATCCGTGTGCTGATATTTGATTATTGTATAACACTCTCAGTGAAGAAGACAAAAAAGCAATTTAACATATTAATAGTGATTAACATTTAAAGCAATATGAGCTGCAACTTTAATGTCGGAAATTTTTGTTGTAATATTGTAATTTACTACTTCAATGACAGAAAAAAGTACGTTTTTAAACTTCTGTCGTTCATATTCGCGATGGAAGAACTATTTATATGCTTTGACTAAAGCAAAATTACATAATTGTCATCCTGTACAATATTGATTTCTCATATAATACTATTTTACATTCCATTGTACAGAAATCTTTCTTCTAAAAAAATTTAATGCTTTATTTTAGTCTAATTGATCATAAAGGATTAAATTACACACAGATTTATCATAACAGCACATTTTAACAGCAAAATAAAATTCTCAAAAATGCAGCTCATATTGCTTTAAATTAATGTATTCTAAAAAAAAAAAACAAAAAGTAGGTACCTGGATCCAAAATTATCGCCAGAACCAAATTTAAGCAAGTCAGTTCTGAAAATATAACCCAGAATGAAATTACTGGTTTTGAACCATTCCAGTCAGAACAGTAAATTACCTAAAACCAAATTAATGCAAAAAGCTAGGCAGGCTTTGATTTACATTTAACACACTTCTTTGACAAGATCTTAGAAAATAAATGTGCTCTTTGACACTTCATAGTAAAAAAAAAAATTCAACAAAAGTTATATGAAATTTTGTTGTTTAAAAAAAAAAGTTATATGTTCAATTTCCATCATTTTTCTTGAATCTGAAGTTCATGGAAATTGGTCATTTTGTTGTACATGTATATTTCTTTGTACTTTGTAGGAAAGTGGGACTCCAGAGAATGATATTTATTATACAAGATGCAGAGAAAATGTCATTGTGAATTTGATTAATTTAAAGAAGATGGCAGATGCTGTAGAATTATACTTACCATTTTGTGAGTTGGCTTTCAGACCATTGAAACACTATCCTGAATTAACTCTTTATTTGTAACACTAAAATGTGGGCCATGACCACTTGTGTTTTTCTTAAAATTAATATAATTATTCTTATTCTTATTATTTAATATTATACTTCTTAAATACTATTAAATAACATCTAAATCTTTCTTTCATTTAAAAATTAAATTTAGATATTATTGCTGAAATTTTAAAGTTTACAAACTATAGCAGTATATTCTTTATAGAATGTCTCTATGTAGTAATTTAAAAATCTATATATATACTAAAAAACAATTGGATTAGAATTTCCCCTGAATTTCTGGCTCTTTACAGTTGAATTTTTGGAGAAGGAAATGAACAATGGCAATGTACACCTGATAAATGGAACACTTCCTTTTGCACATGCTGACATAGTGAAATACCTGATACAGAGCAAACAGGACAAAGTTACTCAAAGAGTTCTCAAAATATTAATCAAAACCAAAGTTGTCATTCCAATATATTATGTCTATCTTGATGAAGTTAACATGAGACTTAATAATCCTGGTGAAAAGGCACCAAAAGCTTTAGGGAATGAAGGAGCTATGTCTGTTGATGAGGCGCTTCAGAAGTTTGTATTTTACTTGTATAATGATTAGTCAAATTATTAGTTTAATTTTATATATATATATATATATATATATATATATATATATATATATATATATATATATATATATATATATATATATATATATATTAGGGATGTCAAATCAGTCAATTTTTGATAATCGGTTACTCGGACATTTTTCCGATCGAGTACCCGGGTACTCGGTAAAAATGTAAATTAATAATACAAGTTTGTTTATTTTTAATTGTTAATTTGTTAAACCCCAAACCTGTGTTTATCACGTTTTATGAATGTATATAAACATGGAGTCCAACGGAAATGATTTTTGGTACTAAATAAATACAAAAGACAATTAATACATCAAAAATTACAAATGGTTTACAGTTCTTGTTTAGGATCTATTTCATCAACGCAAAAGGAAGACAATCTGTTACGCAGGTTTGTGATGATTAGACAAGCAAAAGAGAAGAAACGGACATTGTTTGGATCGCTAGTCTAATACTTTTTCATATGTTGGTTGTTTTCCCCGTATACACTAAACTTACTATGGAAACTGACTTTAAACTTTTTTTGGGAATCTTTACTTATTTTGAAGTGGGTAGAGGCATTTCTATGCATGTCCAATTTCGCTGCCGTATATTAACTATAATTTAAAAATGATTTGAAGACAATAGACCATATTAAACAATCGATGTTCAGTGAAAAACAATCATGGAAGCCATCAAAAAATTAAGGACCATGACCACAATAGGTGTGAACAGCTGCGTACCAGGTGATTGGTCACTAATTACTGTATATACACAGCCATAGGTGATAACGGGTGTTTACATGTGTACATGTAGATGACAACACGCTAATTACCTGTATGCATATTTAAGTTATTTTTTGATAAGTTTTTGATAAAAATATGTACTTTGAAATAAGAAAAAATACACATCCGAGTAACCGAGTACCATTTTTAGTATTTGATACTCGGACGTTCGATCGAGTACCCGGTTAACCGGGTACTCGTTGACATCCCTAATATATATATATATATATATATATATATATATATATATATATATATATATATATATATATATATATATATATATATATATATATATATATATATTGTTTTTGAAAATATGTAAAATAGTTGGGGGAAAAAAAATAAAATGATCAGAAAAAAATCCCACTTCACATATATGTAAGTACATGTACTCTTTAAAATCTAAAATTACTCTAGTAACTAGTTGCTTTAATAAATTTCAGATGGCCTGGAGACAGAAGTCTGCTGGAATATAAATTTAGAAATCTGATTGATGCAGGGAATTCAGAGACACTTATTGATTCATTCAACAATTTGTGTCCAAGGATCTACAACTTTGGTAGTCTGTTGAACTTTGTACTGGAAATGTTTGCAACCTCAAAAACATTCAATAATAAAATGTTTCTAGAATTCAACATTAATGCCCTGAACCATCTACCAGAGAATGAGGTTGAATGCTTTCTGGTAAGTTCATAAAATGGAATTGGTTTATTATTTAAATAATTTTCTGGGGGAAAAATATGCAGTGTTCATTTGAAAACACAAGACTTCATTAAAGAAAGCAGTCAGTGATTTAGTATCATTAAAGGCACTGTTGATTTACCATCAGCTTAGAGTAATGGAATTTAGAATAAGTATGGAAAATTAAATTCATGGTTTAACATTAATGATTATTAACTGAGTAAAGATTAAGAGTGACTTAGCAAAAGTGATGTTTACTAGTGATTAATAGCTTCTGTGTTCATCACTAGTGATTTTGTGAAGGTCACTAGTGACTTATGATGATGAAAATCACTAGTAATTGAGATTCCTTATGGTTTAGCATTTATATGAGGATCACTATTGATTTAATCATTAAAAATAGTGTTTTTAAAAGCACTTGTGAAGAACACCAGAAAAATTACCATGTTTGATTAAGCATTTAAGAATCCTACTGGTGTTTTAGAGATGAAGACAAAGGATTTATTGCTACTGATTTATTATCATTACTCAGTTAACACAGGTATATGGGCTTTTAGGTCACCAGAGTGACTCAGGTGACCTATTGTTATCTGTTTTCATCTGTTATTGCATGTGCATTGTCCTTCAATCATCCATCAATATTTTAACATTTTCAGTTTCTTCTCTGGAAACATGTTACCAATTTCAACCAATTTTGATATGTAGCATCTGTTAGGAAAGGGGAACAAAAATTGTGAATTTCATTGTCAGCCTCCAACCCTTCAAATTCTTAACCACTGGGTCAGTGGTTCTGGTGCAGGGCAGTGCTCTTTTGATCATGTGGGGAAAGTACTCTTCTCTGTCAGAAGTTATTCCTCTTTGTTTTTCATCTTTGATAATTAATAAATTAACAAGCATTCTGAGAGTATTGCATTAGCAGTACTAGTCCCCTACCGGCACTTGTAATCTGGTTCCCGTCAAAAATTGAAAATGCCATAATTCCGTCAAAAATCATTGAAGCGAAATGAAATGCAAACTTGATCTATAAGTAATCAAGGTAAAGTCACATACCAAACATCAGCTCCATATCTCCAAGCGTTTAGAAAAAAATCGCGGAAAACCCTTAAAAATTGAAAAGGTCATAATTCCGTCAAAAATCAATGAAGCGGAACGAAATGCAAACTTGATCTGTAACTCATCAAGATACACTCACATACCAAAAATCAGCTCAATATTTGCAAGCGTTTATGAAAAAAGTGCGGAAAACCAAGTGGGACAGACAGACAGAGGGACAGACAGACAGCTAGACAGACGGACGGAAAGACTCAGAGGAAACCTATAGTCCCCTCTGGTTTCACTGGTAGGGGACTAATAATTGTAAATAATGCAATTGATAGGTCATTCAAATAAAAGTGTTATACAAGAATTTTATAGTGTATAATTCAAAAAAATACAGTACAATTCGTTTATTATCATAGTTTATTTGTCAGGTCAAAACTTTATAATAAGCGACTTTTATAATAACCATAGCCGGCTGAAATTCATGTCGGATGTCTGACATGAAATGACGTTTGTATAAATTATTGGATGTACTTCTCTTATACATGTTATGTTACATGTAATTTCAGGTTTTTTTTTAGTTTTTTTGAAATACAAATTAACTATCATATCATTTCACAATATTTACTTACTATTTCAACTTTCTATAATAAATAAATTCACTTGAATAAAGCTTAATACTCTTCAAACTCTCTAGAAGAACTTCGAGCTGTCTTCTAAATCCCTTGGCATCCATCTTGTTTATTTTCATTTTGATCTACTTTCATTTTTAAATATATGATCAATTCAAACTACCAATATTTCGTTTTTTTAATTCATTTCTTTTATTCAACTAAAGTAGACATAAAAACATCACTTCTTAATTAATGGGGCAGTTTTATAAATGTAATTAATTATGAACATTGATCACGCAACAAGCGTAAGAAAACTTGGGTTAATCAGGGACCTATATATACTAACGTTAGTATATAGGTCACTGGGTTAATTGACACAAAATTTAGTTTCAACACATTTGGTAAAACACATTTATTATCAATGTACAATTCAGGATAAACAAAAGAAGAAAATAAGATTGCGAATGGTTTTGTGTTGTTATGTAATGTACTCTGTTAAATAAACAAACTTCATTTCAATCACTCAGGTAAGTGCACTGAAGTGTGACTAATCTCCCCAATCAAGCCATTGTGTATAGACAAGTGACAGTGCATGAACCACAGGTGTAGATAGGTGTTATCTTTTGTTTTGTTGATTGTCCCAAGAGTGAAAAGGTGTGAAAAAAATATTACGGATGAAAATTTTCTATTATAGTAAGCGAAGTGTACACTTTTACCTATGATAATAACAGACGAAATTTACAATGAATTATTAAGAAATGCTTTAAAATTTATAGTTTTTGATGATCAGGTAGACCTGTAAATAACAAGCATTCTGAGAGTATTGCATTAGCAATATTAGTCCCCTACTGGCAAGTGTAATCTGGTTCCCGTTAAGAATTGAAAATGCCATAAATCCGTCAAAAATCAATGAAGCGGGACGAAATGCAAACTTGATCTATAACTAATCAAGGTAAAGTCACTTACCAAAAATCAGCTCAATATCTGAAAGCGTTTAGAAGAAAATTGCGGAAAACCCCTAAAAATTGAAAAGGCCGTAATTCCGTCAAAAATCAATGAAGCGGAATGAAATGTAAAGTTGATCTGTAACTCATCAAGATGCACTCACATACCAAAAATCAGCTCAATATCTGCAAGCGTTTAGAAGAAAAGTGCGGAAAACCAAGTGGGACAGACTGACAGACAGACAGAGGGACAGACGGACGGACAGACAGACGGACTGACAGACTCAGAGGAAACCTATAGTCCCCTCCGGTTTCACTGGTAGGGGACCAATAATACATGAATAAAAATGAGATAAAAATACCTTACATTTGTTAATGGTATAGGAAATTTCCTGGGTTTACTATGTGTATACTGTTAAGCATTATTGTGTATTTATTATGACAAAAGAGAGTGTAGGTCTGGCACATGCAGGCAAGTAAATAGATCTACTTTCTGAGTTGTTGCCGATTACCAGATTCTCTAGTCCTTGAAGAATATATCTTCATCTGTCAATTTATTTTATTTTTAGGTCACCTGAATTACTCAGTTGACCTATTCAATCTGTTTTTGTCCATCACTCTGGGTCATTTTTTCATGCATTTGTTGTAAACTTTTGAAGTTTTTTAGTTTTCTGGAACCACTGAACCAATTTCAACGAATTTTGGTATATTGCATTTATGAGTAAAGAGAAACATTATTTGTGAATTCCATGCTCTCAGCCTGCCTGGGGCCTGAGGGGTGGGGTCAAAACCATCCAAATTAATCCAATCTGCAGAATCTTTTTCATTTACTCCCAGACATCAAGTATTCAAAATGTAGGCATGAATATCATAAGCAATGAGCTCTCTACCAAAATTGTGAATTTTATGGCCCCAGGATCAGGGGTTCTGGTGTTAGGGTGGGGCTCTATTGATCATATATTGAAAATGCATAAATTCTTTCAAAATCTTCTTCTCTCCCAATGTATATTTAGCAGAGTTATAAAGTGCATGGTCACATTGAGAAATTTTAAGGGTGGCTCATCCAAAATTGTGAAAAAAAACACCAGGATCAGGAGTTCTGGTCTAAAAATGGGGCTCTATAGCTATTGATCATTTAGGAAAATGCATAAATTCTTTAACATTGTAATCTTCTGTCATCTCTTATACTAAGCAGACAAAATAAATGCATAGTTATGATGAGCAAATCCTGTTTCAGAGATGGCTTGGACAATCTTGATGAAACTGTATAGAAATGACGATGGCCATCTTCAAAACTAATGATATTGAGGCATCCCCATGTTGTATGGATTCAAGCTTGGTTAAGCAATGACCCCTTTGGGCTAGGATGTGATTGAAATTTGGGGACAAAATTTTTTCATGGAAATTCATAAAAAACTTTTTAAAATCTTCTGCTAAAAACAGCAATGCCAAGGTGACTCAGATGAATGTTGTGGCAAATAGGCCTCTTGTTTATGGTTGAGTATTCTCCTATGCTTCAGTTAACTTAGGACATTACCCTCTTCAGTAGTATATACATGCCTGTATGGAGGATGTGATAATATGAGCTTTTAACATTCAACACCTCATTTTTAGTTGCTTTTAATCAGCTGTTAATGTTTTATCAGTATTTTTGGGTTAATCAACAAGTTGAAACATGTTAAATGCTTTAGTACACTAGTAAAGGATCAAGTAATTTCATTTATATCTTTCTCTCTTTCTTTAGAACTGTTTGAGAAACACTGCTGAAAGTTATGAAAGAGAGAAACAGCCAGAAAAAGCTTTAGGATACTACACACAGTGGACAGAACAAGACAAGGATAACCCTTATCCATACTTAAAAGTGAGCATTTTTATGCCCCACCATCAATTTGGCTGGGGCATATAGTGTTTGTCATCTCCGTCTTCAATCCTTCTGCCCTGCCTTCTGTTTGTCCATCACACCTTGAGTTTAG